ATGGGTCTTAAGTGCCAGTGGACCACAGTAAAGGAGTTAAAAAAAGCACACTAACCCCCTGGTTAGTTTTTCAAATTGTAGAAAGAGTTACAAGCAATATTTCCCTTAGGCCAAATATGACGTGGTCACATAGCTGGGCACTCATCTTCCTTACCCCACCTGTAGGAAAAAGCAATTCTGCTGAACTATAGAACAGACTCAAAGGAGGGCACAGTGGGATTATAAACTTCAGTGGGGCTACCAGGATGGAATTTGATGGAACGAATACAAAGGATGGAAACAGACCTGCATGAGATCATCTTCCCCTCCATTTCATTCTCTTTTGTATGAGATGAAAAGCAATCTAAGCAGTAGTACCTACTCATTAAGAGGGGCAAATTTAGGACAAATGCAGGGTCAGTAAAACTAAGGGAAAGTAGTTTAGACAGATGTTCTAGAGTCAAGTGAGAAAAATGGACATTGTCTTTTCTCTCTTTCTTCCTCTACTGTTACAGAAGTAAGCATTGAGACCCAGTAGTGCACTCAAAAACAGAATCATAATGAACATGTCAGGACAGGCTTTCATTGAGACCCTATCATGAAAGTCCTTAAGGTTTGCTAACTATCCAACCTGTGCGACCTGGGTAAAGGAACTGATATAAATTTGTTGGGGAAACCAAAGCTATTAAAGAAAAGTGTGTTTATAGTTTCTTATCCCATGGAATCACAGGAGGCAAAGGTAAGTAAACTGGAATTTTGAAATAAGGGATTCTGGCAATACCTCTTTTCCCTTTTTTTGTAACCAATAATTCCCCCAGATTCTTACTTTTCCTTTGTCTTTATATCTTAGGTCAAAGATAAATCATAAGGAAAGTTGATTTAGACATGCAAAGAAACTCAAATCATTTTTCTATGCTAACACTTTCTGTGCTCCAAGATATAAAAAATGGTGTGGCCACATGAACTCTGAAAGCAAGAAGTGTTTTAAAGCACTGTATAGATGACAAACATAGACAGGAGTTGGCTAAGTTCCTGAAAGGAGGTCACGTCAAAGAGTCACACTACGAGCATTAGTCCATGCATTTTTATTTAATGGTTTCCTGGCAACCATTAAATAAAAGATGATTATGTGAATATCTCTATACATTTGATAAACCTTTTCCATCCTTCAGTATTCAAGCTCTGTTTTAAGCCTGATGGTCTCAGCAGCTAGGGACAGATTTCCTAAGAAGAAGAGTTCAGAGGAAGCTTCTCCTTTTTAACCTGTTGCCCTATATTTTCATAAAAATTTGGAATTTTGCCTCCTTATAAAATTCTTATAAAGCACTTAGCTTTTAGGCCAAGAGAGAAGGATATGAAGTAAATAAAGGCTTTGGAAAAAAAAATACAGAATTTAATTCATCAGTTCAATTCTGCACTGAAGAAAATACAAGCAGAACAATTTTCCCAAGTCTTATTTTGTAGAAAGCATACTCTTTGGTTTAGTAAAATTATGCATGATACTACTTACTTTTTCCAGAAATCATAGGGTCTTAGGGAATGATCTAGAATTCTGCTTCAAAAGTTTGGTTAAATGAGACTAGGTTTAATGGTGTAATCACTGATAAAAATGTACTTACTTCACTGCTGACTGGTCCATATGAATGACCTGAAGAATCTGGTTCTTCTAAATACAGAGTGTAAAAGTGTGGTCTAAATCAAACAGTATCAAAATGTAATATTTTACGAACACATTGAAAAAACAGAATGGAAAGAATATTTCAACAATTGATAGTGATTAAAAATTCTACAACACTGAGGTAACATTTCTAAACTTACTAACAAATAATTTACAGGTTTGGAATTCTTCAAAATGTGACTATAATAGTTCATTACAGAGTTAATTTGGATCTAAAACATTAAAGCCAATAGCCCGATTTTACTGTAGTCTATTTTTAATAAGTATGTAACTTCTATTATACAAAGGAGTATTTATTTATTTATTTAAAGTTCCAAGGGTTGAACTCAGGGTTACTCAACCACTAAGCCCCATCCTCAGCCCTATTTTATATTTATTTAGAGATAGGGTCTCACTGAGTTGCTTAGTGCCTTGCTTTTGTTAAGGCTGGCTTTGAACTCTCAAATCCTCTAAGCCTCCTGAGTAGCTGGGATTACAGATGTTGCCACCACAACTGGCCAAAGGAGTATTTATAATAGAAATTAACTTTCTACATACCTTTCATCTCTAGGAAGCTGTAGCCACTGAAGAACAGCTAAAATTCTTTCTTCAAATGGAATGGAACTAAAATTAAGGAAGAACACAACAAAACAAATCTGTGAGAAATGTGTGGATTTAAAATAAAATAGCATTAAGGAATACTAAATCAAGGCAAAGCATTTATTGTGTTTGAAGTTACAGAAAGCTTTTGATCAAAAACTTCAATTTTTTTTCCAATGAAGGACTAAAATTGAGCTTTTATATAAATAAAAGTGGTAATTTGGTTTAAAAATTTGCTTCTCCTCCTCTACTGGAGGGTATTATTCATGTATCTGGAAGCAGGCATTGTTTACTGCACAGATATCATTGCATTAATACAGTCAACAAAGGACACCTCAGGCAGAGCTCAGCCACAGATGACACTTAGTACAATTTGGATTAAGGCATCTGATAAGCAAATAACAATTCTCCAGGCAACATCTCTTTAGCAGAGTTAATTATGCCTTCCTCTGGATACAGGGCTTTGTTGACAGAGCTCCATCAGGGTGCTTGCCCAATCCCAAGAATAGAGCTTGAGAAGCCAGAGACCATGAATTCCCCTTGCTAGTATAGTACATGGCACATCCAATCTTACTCGCCATCTCCATTTCATTTATGGGATGGAAACATTGGCAAATAACAAGGACAAGGAAAGACACTACACTGTGCCCAGGTGAGCCCTGAAGAATACATAGCAATATTATGAAAGAAACTGCTATGCCATTTTTTTGTTTGGGATTTATGATCTTTTCTGTTTGCCCTATCCTCCATCTCAGCTCCAAATGTCCTGTATTGACTTTTCAATAAAAATCAGCCAAGAATCTTCCCTTAATTTTTTTTTTTGCCTTTTCTGAATATATTGTGGATTTTGGATATTATGAGGAAGTTATCCTAACCAGATTCTTACACTGGAAAGCATATTTATTGAAGTAATTTAGAAAGGGAAATTCAGAGATATCATGAATATTTTCTTTTAAATAATATTTTTGAACATCAGGGAGTCATTCCTACCAATGTATTCTTTAATGCATCTGCCTTTTCTATTTCCAAGTTCTTTTGCTTCCTGGGGTTAAAATGTTTAGCGTCTCCATTCTTCAGGTCTGTACACACCACTCAAATGCTAGGGCTTAGGATTCCATTAGAGAGAGGGAGAAGGGGGAGAAGGGAAAAAATAAGATGTTCTGTCTTGCAAGGTCCTAGAAAAAGTTCGTTTACACATACCCATTATAAACTTTGTAGATATCTGGATAAATTCCTTTAATTGTCACATCTGATCCTGGCCAAAATAATGTGCCAGACTTGAGGCCTTGATACTTAGCTGTGATCCAAATCTGGGGAAGAAAATGGAGGAAAGTTAGGAAATCATGTGAACATTCATCTTTCAGGAAGGAGAGTGTGTTCCTGCAACACTGCGGTATCCTTCTCAAGAGCTATCTTGTTTTAAAGGTCAGTAAGCTCCAGCAATTAGATTACAGTAATCACATAATATGACTTTTAAACAGCAGGAAATGGAAATTTAAATAGAGATTTAAAAGATGGACATAAGGCAGCTGGCAATTCCTTTAACATTTAGAGCTATATCCCTAATTAGTAGGTTTCTCTGGAAAGAAGAAAAATTCATCAATATACCTGTCTTTAACTTGTTGACATTTTTCCTTATGTAACCAATATTTATTAAGTACTTATTACTGCCAATAATATACATGAATAGGATTCCTATAAGCCTCCTACATTATTAATTTGCATGATCTTCACAGTAACCTTGAGGTAGTTAATCCTGATACCTACAGTATAGATAGAGAACATCAAGGCACAGGAAGAATGACTTACCCAACGTCACATAGCTTTAAACATCAGAGCTAACATTTGAATTTATGACCTACAAAATTAAATACTGTGCTCTTTCTCCTTCTAAGAGGAACATCAAGATTATCCAGAGAGACCATTTTTCATTATTATGACAATTTTTAAAAAGTAAAAAGGAGAACATTTCTAAATTACAATCAGAAAGAACCTACTAAGTTATTTATACATGCAAATAAAGCCAGAGCTTGCGT